ACCGTCTCTCTCTCTCTCTCTCTCTCTCTCTCTCTTTTGGCAATTGAGGAAAGCCGACTTACATCCAGGAGTCGAGGCCTTGGGGTAGGTAAACACGACGACGCCCTCTTTGCTCTCCTCCAGCAGCTTTCTGAAGGATGTCTTTGTGCCGTCGTTGAGCTCGATCTCGATCTCGAACTGGCTGAGGTCGAGGACGTCGCCTTCTTCAGGGACACAGCCGGCAGCTTTCTCCTCAGCTTCTTCACCTTTGTCCTCTTTCTTTTCCTCCTCCTTCTTCTCCTCGGTTTCTTCTTCCTTCTTCTCTTCCTTCTTGTCGGCCTTCTCAGGCTCAGCAGGAGGAGCAGCAGCGGCGGCGGCGGCGGCAGCCTTCTTCTCCTTGGGCGCGGCCTTCTTGGGCTCAGCTTTGGCGCCGGCCTTGGATCCTCTCTTCGCCTTTGGCTCTGCCACTGGAGCAGGAGCCGGCGCCTTGCGTTTTCTCAGCTCAGGAGCCATCGTAGGTCTGTCTATCTGGTTGCTTTGCAGCGGATGAAGGGAGAATTTGGTGGAATGTGTAGCGAAGCCGGAGAAAGAAGAAGAGAAGAAGCGCGCACGACTGGCAGCAGCAGAAGAAGACAAGGTCGCTAGCTCGTTTCTTCTTCGTCTGCTTCCTTTACCGCGTCCAGGCGCGAGCTCGCCTCCTATAATGCGTCTGTCTATCGCCTATCTATCGCGTTAATTCTATCTCTGCTGCCGCTGTCCTGAGCCCAGCTTGCGCTCTCCCAAGGGCGCTCTCTCCAGCCCGTCGAAGAAGCGCCCACCCAAGTATAGACCGCCAGCGACAGCCAGCCATCGTAGAACCGCCAGCAGACTCCCAGCCGACGGCCCCCCAGCCCCGGTCGTCCATCTTGTAGCGCTGTGTTCCAGTAATCACCCCATCTTTCGCTGCATATCAAATCCGCTTCTCCGTCTTGCTCGCCTGCTCTCTCTCTCTCTCGTCTTGAGTTGTTGTTTTTTTTGACGTTCGAAGCCGGCTCGAGCTTGGCGTTTTTTTGCGCTTCGAACTCTCGTTTTGCTCGCTGGCTTCGGCTTCTCGACCAACGTCAAGCAGAAGCAGTCGAAAAGAACCACAGAAGAGCGACCAAGCCAGCGTCTTTGCTCTGATTCCGGTGAGTCTCACGCAGCCTATCGTAGTGCACAGCCCTAATTGAGTGGTTACAGGAGATGAGAGCGTCCAAGATCCTCCAGAAGGCGTCGGCCGCCTCGCACGTCGTCCCCGTCAACCAGGTCCGTACATCACCAGCACACACTTATATCCCCATCTGCGCCCATCGAAGACCTCGTTTCCCCCTCATTCTACGACGAGGCTAACACGGTTTAGAAATATACTGTACAATCCTACGGCATATGGGAGAGAATCCGACGGGCTCTGGCCGTCGACCCTACTCGTTCGTCCGGTGTCCCATTGAACGCCCAATTCCGCAACCCGGCCCCAGGAGCCCTTGAACCACAGACATACGACGACCCTGTCACTATCCCAGCAGCCGACCTCGCTGACAACCCATACTGGAAGCGAGATGTGCGAAGAGCCTACCCACAGGCCAGCGTGGTGAAGCAGGCGGATGTCGTCGGACTCTTGACATACGGCAGCAAGGCCGAGCCCAAGGACAGTCTTCTTGCCGGTGAGGCGGGCTCGAAGCAGCTGGTGCAGACGCAGCAGACGGCTGAGGAGCGTGGACTGGCTGCGCATTTCGAGGAGAAGGCCAGCTCGGGAGCTGAGGTCCTTGGACCCAGTGGGATGCCACCTCTGCCTGCTCACTTGAACGCTGGAAACACATACAGCCTCCCTTCGGAGCAGGCCTATCCTTCAAAGTAAGTTGATATTCTCAGCTGTTGCATCACTCAGTTCCTCCTATACTAATCTAACCGCATAGATACCCATGCCGCACTTTTATCTAGAACCACGCAGCTAGGTCAATAGAATGGGCAGTTCATTGTTATCTCTCTCTCTCTCTTTTCATTTTCGTCTGTAGAGTACTCGATTCACACTCTCGGCAATGCTTTCTCTTTTGTCTTAACTGGTCTATGGGATATATTGGCTTATAGTTGGGAAACATCTTCCACCTACCCATACATCCCCCTACGTCAATTCCACATGTATAGAATAGCCATGTATGAACATATTTCTTCTATCTATCTACTTTCTCTCCACGTTTGTCCATGACACCTTAATTTTCCACAAAATCGGTATTGATAGTCGTATTATCAATATCATCCCTTGGCTATGATTAAGGCAAGACATTCCACCAAACACGACAGCAGAAAACTATCAAACATTAAAGCCAGCATCCAGCATCCCACAAGATCCTCGAGAGCTTCTAATATCCCATATACTTAAACCGTTTGGCCGTGCTGTTGGCTTACATGGGGGGCTTTAACTTTCCGCACAGAGAGGCGATTTTCGACCAAAAAAAAAATCATGAGAAAAAAAAAATCTCCAAAATATCAACTACAACAGCCAAATTAACCAATATCACCTCAATAATAACCACCAAACCCACTAAAGCAGTTGTTATATTCTTCAACTTTCCATGGGTGACATATCCGAGCAGGCGTCTGCGCCAGTTCTAGACTCTCTCGTCCCACCTAGAGAGATTCAATGTGCAGGCACCAGCAAAGTCTCTCTTGACGGCATACTCAACCCGCCATTACAACTAAGAGAAGACTTAAGAAACGGCTGCGGCGGCCAAATATGGCCTGCAGGCGTCGTCTTATCGAAATACATGATTGAGAACCATGCTACCGGCCTCCAGGGCAAGACAATGTACTAATTACATCCATCCATCCCCTTTGATTTGATTCAAAATTTGATAAGATAGTTGCCAAAAAAAAAAAAAAAGTATTGAATATTAACCAAACCTCCCGAACGGAAACTAACATATGAATGACCGTGGCTAGAATCGAATTAGGTAGCGGAAGTGGCCTTGTAGGCCTCGCTGTCGCCAAAGGATGTGCCGTCGATTCACCAATCTACATCACCGACCAAATGGCCATGTTCGAGCTCATGAAGCAGAACATCGAACTAAACGGGCTCAACAGCTCTGTACACGCTGCCTTGCTCGACTGGGGTGACGAAGGCGCTGTTCGTGCTTTGCCCCGGGCCAAAGTGATTCTTGCAGCGGATTGTGTGTACTTTGAGCCAGCATTCCCGCTACTGCTGCTGACTCTTGAGGCGCTGCTGGATGAGGAGGATGTAGTGTGTTATTTTTGCTTTAAGAAACGGCGTAAGGCCGATATGCGGTTTATCAAGCAGATGAAGAAGAAATTTGATGTTGTGGAGGTGACGGAAGGGGTTGACCGGGACTTCTGTAAACAGGAGAGGATATTTTTGTATATTCTTAGACAACGAATGGAAAAGCCTTGAGAACGTCTGAACATTTCAAGTAAAACCGTTGATTCTTTTATTTTCTAAACCTCTACCAACGCCGAGGGTATGCAGGTACAGATGATTTTGTATTTAATATATTCACAGCTTAAGGTTCTCACGGCCCTTGGAGGCAGTGTCCTGGATTTTGTTCCCCTGGACGTCGGTCAATTTGCCTCCCTTGCCAATGACTTTGACGCCTCCCTTCTTCAAGTTCGAAACCAACTCTTTCTTCTGCGATGAAGCACTGTCAGGCTTGCTGGCAGCTGCCTGGGATTCCCTCTTTCTCTTCTTCAGTGCCTCACGACGTCGACGATGTCGTAGCTTAGCCTCCTTGCCCAGCTCGTCCTTGGCCAACGATACACCACTCTTCAGCTTTATCTCTCCTGCCATTCTAGTCTCACTTGGGTTATATATCTCATGAGGAGCCATGTTTCCAGATGCAATACCCGATTCACCACGAGTAGTTGGCTGAGCATCTTCCATAGTGATCGTATCAACATTGGATACCACGTTAAGATCAACCTGAGGCCTCTTGGGCTTGAAGTGCCAGTTCGATAGGGTGTCCAGCTGAGAGCTAATCTGCTCCCATAGCTGAATAACCTCGTTGTGCTCTTTCCGTAGCTTTTCAGCTCCCTTGTCGATGAATCCCGGGTCGGTGGCACGTAGATGGTCCTGCTCATATAGCTCTGCAAGACTATGCTGAGGTTTCGTCTCGTCCAGCTCAAACTTGCGCTTAGTGGCTCCGCCCTGTTCGCCAATAGCAAGTGGTCGACGACGGATAATATCATCGAACTCCTTAGTAATGATCCTGCGTTTGATGAGCGATTCGATATCGTTGCTGACCTCAGTCGTGATGATGGGCACTGGCTTGCCAACCCGCTCGAAGTCCAAATCTTCTTCGATCAGTGAGTTGATTGGTCTGGCATTGCTCTGAGCTTCTCCCATCAGCGTCCAGTCTTTCTTTGCGACATTGGCAGCTTCTAGCCGTCGGATCTCATCTGCGATCTGTGCTCGCCTTTTTTCATGACTGGACATGTTTTTTGACTGCTCGCCATCCATAGCATCGTCTTCCCCGCTCATTTCATCATCGTCAAACAAATCTCGCCGTACGTTTGCCATTGCTCGATCAATGTCCGCATCTATATCTTCTTGAGTTTGCTTTTTCTGTTTTGATTTGGATTTACTAGCATTCGGTGGAGGATCGAAGAAGTCTTCATATTTAGCGTTCCGGGGGTCATCGTTCAACCCCATATCACCATCTTCATCCTCATCTCCTTCTTCGGAGTTGGCGTCGGGTATTTCCATATCAAGGTCCAACTCGTCCTCATCCATATCATCTTCATCTTCGTCATTTTCGTCTTTGTCCACAGTTCTCTTGTCTGGTATATCTGGCAGTGCGAGGGGGTCTGCATCCCAGTCTATATCCTCCTCGTCACTATCAGCATCGGTATGCGGACGCCTGGAATCCCGGTTTTCAAAAAAGGCTGACTGTTTGTTGAATTCTTCTAATGAGAAGAAATCATCGTTCAGGCCATGGGGATCAATTTTCTTCTTTTTATCGGGACGCGGGGACTCATCTCCCTCGAAAGTTCTGTCTTCTTTTTCTTCTTCTTCTTCCTCCTCCTCCTCCTCCTCCTCAACCTCTTCATTTCCTTCCTCTAGTAATGAGTCGTCATAGTCCTCACCAAAATCGACTTCTTCCTCATCTTCCAAGTCCAGCATTTCTTCGTTGTCTTCACTATCTTCACCGTCCTCCATTTCCTCATCGTCTTCCACATCGTCCGACATACTCTCGTCATCCTCAGGGAATTTCTGTTTGGAAGGCCTGTATAACGCCGTATTTCGTTCATTGAACCTGTCCAAGTCCCGGGAAGATATTGTCAACGCCGAATCCAGGATGCGCTTCGCTTGCTCCCATATCTGATTGTGGTTGAACCCATTGACATGGAGCTGATGGACTTGAGGGACTGGGGTACGCTGCTTCCGCTTTTGTCCACGCTGCTCTTGTTTCAAGTCCTGTGTAAGAGAGTCAAGATATCCTTTTGCTGCAGCAACTGATCCGGAATATAGAACCGGAGATGGCTTTAAAAATGCTTCTAGATTGGACATTGGAAGCGCCGCCGTACTGGCAGCTGCATCGTTCTGGGAAGGCATTTCGAGCTGTATATAAAAGGAAGCACCGGGATAATAGGTAGTTTCGTCGTATCAGTATCGAATTCGAGTCCAACGGTAGTTCCGTCAAAATCGTCTCTCGCGTTGCGCGGTGGGTGCGATCCCACACAACTTCGTTTACTGCTTGAGGTCCAGTAGAATTTTCACAATGGCTAGCAGTAGAGCGCAAGACGTATATGGAAACCTCCCGTGTGTCTCAAAACCACTCTCTGCAACCTGCCATTCCTCCGGTCGAAATGCGATCTTTCTTATCACGATGAAATTTGTCTCGCATAAAAAATGTTCAAAGTCGAAGCTTCGAAAAGTTT